TATTTAAAAGTCTCAAACCATAATATTCTTCCTATAAAAACAGTTATTCACTATTTGGTAGAGCCATGTCAACTGTCAAATTTGACACATTTTTCGATGATCTCACCACGTGGCATGCATTGTCTTGCAGTGCAACGGGTAAGTTTCATTCAAGATGTCGAGATGTGTATAAGAGACAGGTATTTCAACACGCAAATGTATGACATCACCATTTCAACCATCAATGAACGCATGGAACTAAAACAAAGCTTAATATAAAGGAAAAGCTGGACTGCTGGAGAGGTGACGGAATTACCTACGATGTCGGAATATACCACGTTTACCCTACCGCATAGTGGCAAAGCAGAGAGTTTTTTAGTCTCTCCCTCAAGTTCATTTTTGAGTCCTATAAGTAGACAAGTAAAGTATCATGGATACCAGCATTATCATACATAAGAAATTGGTTAAAATCTTGAGTAAATGAGGAAATTAAAAATGAACTGATTCTAAAAAATCTCTGGTTTGCCACTATGCCCTACCGCGTTTACCCTAAAGTTAAGTGGCAAAGCAAAGAATTTTTCACTCTTATTTTTGAGTCCTATGCAGAGAACAATAACATATAGTATCCTGAAATTAACTGTGATACCAGCATTATCATAGGCTAGCATATAAACTCATTATAAATTATAATATAGGTATTGAATAAAATTTTCAACTAAATTGGACTTACAGTATTTGATGACTGCAATGTTGACAGGAGCTGTGGCAGTGACAATGAAATATTTATGGGGAGTCATAACTATAATTATGTAGTCTTGTAGATAACTTATTTTTTTTTTAAGTTAATAAACTGGAAGATTATCAAGATAGCCTAGGTACCTGATAAAATACAATCATATACAAAATTACAAATGAGTACACGAATAATTTATCTATTTGAGTTTGACAGATATGTTAATAGAACATTTCAATTTGTCTTGTAACGTTAGCCTTAAAATTGGCCGAAGCCCGAAATTACAAGTCGTAACGTGGATTCTACAAAATTTGCAGCCCGAATTGCAGGTGCGAAACATTTCAGTGAGCACAAGACACTCCGCTCGCAGCCCATCTAGTGACAGCTGACAGATGCCACACTAACGGTCCAACCGTCACAGTTACCATACGTTCCTCCGTGGATAACAATTTACGACAGTTTGCCAAAGATGGGTTATTTCCATGTTTGAACTAAATATACGTATACTTGTTCAACCATTGGTTATTTCAAAGTGTTTTTTGTTTTAACCAGGGATGATGATGTTCTAACTTTGTTTTATACCCAGTTAATTAATTAATTTTTATTTTGATTGTGCTTTTATGCAAACAAAGTTTCAAGCGAGTTATCAATAGACGAAGTTCACCAATGAAAAAATCATTCTCTTTTAACATTTTTAGGCTTCCTAAATTACAATAGTTCGGCCGGTGTAGCTACAATAGGTTCTATTTTTGTACATTGCTGTACAGAAAATGACTGATAAGCTATCTTGGAGTGACAGCGCACCTGAGAAGCTGCACTGCAGTATGAATAGTGCAGTGACCGTTGACTGAGTCACTCTCCTTTTTTATTAGTGTCTAGTTGCCGATCTGCGTTTTTCTTCTTCTTGAATATAACGTGTAAAAATCTCATGCCAGCGATATCTACGAAATCCGAAAGACTTAACATAAAATTTGAGCTATACATAATGTTTATGAACATAGAATATTTCTCTTCCATTGCTGTAACTCCCGAAATTGTTGATCATTCAACATGAATTAGCAAAAGATACAGAACAATGTCTGCGATGCATATTAGTTATTAGTAGTAAATCGTATTGCAGCAGGCTTAGCAGAAAGTGCGATTAAGTAGCAGATTGAGCAGTGAAAACCAAGATAACGTAAATATCGTACAAGTAACAAACTTTATACAAATGTGAAAAAATCTTTACAAAATAATGTATGGGGATGTAAGATTTTGGCGATGCAAGGCATTGTTTTCGCTCAAGATCTTACTGATTTTAAATCTTTGTGCCCTTTTATTAATTTCAATCATAGGACGTGCTTTACCGTGGCATCCACTCAAGATCACTGTGGAGACGAATAGAACTTGGCACCGACCACTAATAAAACATGATTTTATCGATGAACACGTCAGACACCGAATCCCTCTAAATGTCAGTGATGAGTGCCGGCTGCCGTGGTGGGATGGTGGTCTGACGTGTCGCTCAGGAGACGAACACACGGTTTACTTTACCAATGAAACTAGAAGTTACTGTAGCTTACGAGCGCACAGACTTGGAAGTGGACAAAAAGTCATATCGTATTGTCTCTTCGGCGACTATGAGGAGTATGCCTCAGGTTTTGATGAAATACTAAGCACAATTCGTTACTTGTACCCTGGTTGGGTTGTGAGACTATACACAAATCCTCGGGGATACAAGCAAGCGTTACTTCCTCTACTGACCAAGTACTCGAACCTATATATTTGTGACGCACGCAACTTGCCGGGTCGAACTCGGGAGCTGGTGGACGTCGACCCGAGACTGTGGAGGGTTGCAGTTCTTGGGGACGAGCTCGTTGATGTTTTCCTAGTTCGGGACATCGACTCGGTGGTGAGTAGCACCATCGTTATAATGATGTACGCGTTGATGGATATTGTTTAACGATGAAGGTTGAATTATCCAAAACAACTTTCTCGAAATATATTAAAACATAAGATTATTCACCATAATCTTCCCTACCTAATCTTCCGCATGCCAACCTTCCCGATTTGGACCCATATATGCAATTCATGGGGCAAAAGAGTCGGTAGCGCCTCGTCAGGGAGTAAAAATGAGAGCACACGTACGTGCTTAATAAAACATATTCATATATTTTATTCATATGCATATCTTATTTTAATTCCAATTTCTTCAAAGCGCGTGCATTTTGAGCAGTTGTTGGAGCGTGAGGTGCACGCGGTCAAGGAGTGGCTCGAGTCAGGCCAGTATCTCCACGTCATGAGGGACCATCCAGAGCACGGGGTGCCCATACTTGCGGGCACCTTCGGGGTCGCCCAGAATTCTGCAGTCCTGCCGCTTCTCAACTCGATCAGAGACCGAATCTTCAACAGGAGGCTGCCCATTCCGAACGACCAGGCCGTTCTCAATGTGCGTGGTGATGCATGATGAATGGGTTAAATTCTACTACTCGTTTACTGTGTAACCTGTAACATGAGAAGAGAGTTTCTAGCCCAACCGACAATGATACATTACATGTTGTTTGCAAAAAAAATCAATTTGACTATCGGAATGAAGTTTGGAAATTGATTCTTTCTTTTCAACGCCAACAGAATTTCTTGTTCCCACAATTACGGCAGAAATCTGTAGTCCACGACAGCTTCACATGTGCCAAGTACCCAGGATCCGTTCCCTTCCCAACCCAGAGGAAAGATGGACAATTCGTCGGGAACAGAAGGTGCCAGATTTTATAGTGGCTGTTAAGAATCTTGAAGCAAAAAATATTACACTGGATACCTATACTGGAACTCGACTGTCATTATGAGCGATCAAATATGTTCAATTGAACAGTTAAACAGCAGTAGGGGCAAATGGTTCTCACGATTAAATGCCAAGGCAGCACTCAGTAACAATAAGTATGTTATACTTAGAGTTTAATATCTTATCTTAGGATCAATGTACCGAACATACTGAAGCCTGAAGTATTCATTACAGCTCCAAAGTGTTAAAGTGTTTTTTGAAGCCCAAGATCCACTCTGAAAACAAAATTATAAATGATAAATAATGTCATGTTAAAAACAATTACTTTATTTGAAATTTACATTTTTCGCAAAACATAAGGAGACTTAGGGCAGAACTGAACAAATTTGCAGGGCTATAAATTTGTTTGAAACCTTCCTGAATAATTTCAGAAAAACTACAAAACAAACGGTAGATGTTAGTGATTAGGTGTGCTAAATAATTCAACTCTATTATCTTCGACTGAAACACGACACTGGACAATATCTTTCATGAATACCATGTTTCAGGTACCGGGCAAATTTCAGTAACGAAGCGTTGCGAAAGAAGTGCCCTCGCTTCTGCAGACCTCACGACCATCCGGATTGGGAATACTGCTGACGCAGAATAATCAAACCTGCATCGCTCTCAACCATCGTATCGAGGAAGAGTCTTCTTTTCGAGGTGTCCGCGTTGGGTGGACTGAAAGCCATAGGACAACCACGAGGATGACCGTTGGGCTCGAGGAAGAGTGAATGTGACTGCGATTCAAATCGTTACTATGTACAAGTTAATGTACCTTGAAAATGTAAAATATATGTCAGTAAAAGAACGACGATTCAAATAAAGATCAGAAATGACAATGATATAAATACCTCCCGCTACTATAACCGAACTAGACTGAGATCTGTTCAATAATCGTTAGAATCACGTACGCGCAATTGCTTATTTTGGTTAGATTTTATCGGTTGTGTTGGTGGCAGCCGGAAATACTCCTTCATTGATTTTAGTCTTCGTATGACAGCCGTTACCATCGAACAAAGGGCTCTTAACAGTGAAGAGTGGGTACAAATTTCGGCAGAATGAGTGGGATAAGATAGGAGAGATTGGCCAGTGTTCAACGTTTCTCCCAGTTACGACCGAAACATTCCAGAAGGGAGTTGTACTTCAGTATAACATTGTGAGAAACACGACTGAAAATTAATGTTACAGGGAGGTCTCCGCTAGTGCTCACGAGGTCATTGGAAAGAAATTCGAGGTCATTGGTTGAAGGTTACTGATAAATAACTAATGATAATGAAAGGCCTTTCTATTTCCATTTTTAAGTCAAAACACGTATACAACTTTACATCATCCTTCTTCAATGAGACTTATCTTAAGACAGAGAGTTCACTGCACAAACAAATAGACGCAGTCCACCAACAAATGCTGTACATGTACAAGCAGCATCAGTCCACAAAGTAACAAAAGCAAAAGTTTAACGTCGCGTGTAGGTTTTAGGGACAGATCAGCGATTATCTCAGGCAGGATTGAGCCAAAGGAACCTCAGTGGGTACCCATGAACGTAATCCTGCAGACCAACATTCCTTCAGACCGCGTCAGCTGACGCAATTCTTCCTGACAATAACGATAGGGCGTGCCGTAACTTGACTACACGGGCGTTACTTACGAGTCCTGAATAATCAATCACGCGTGACAGTGCGACACGGCTGTTGCTCAGTACTTATCCTATTATTTGAAACAATAGCTAAACTATGACTTAAGCAAAATTCTTTGGCGAATAAGGTGCTTCACTGACATACAATTTCAAAACGCAGTCATTGGAATCACCTCGTGGTCACAAGTTCATCCTTAACATCGGCAGCGCGCAACACGGTACATCATCCACACGAATTACTGGTTATTTTCAGCACATGCTACCTTGCATTCACTCACAAATTTTTTCAGATAAAAAGAAACATAGTAACCCAAAAATAGTGATCAAAAGCTTTTTTCACAATTACACTAGTTTTTCATATGAGAAATAATACTCAATTATTATACAAAACCAAAGGCTTACGTAAAAATAAAAACAAAAATAAATTAAAATTTACAAGAAGAGCAGCAAATGGCCAAACGAGGACATATCAGAACGTAGACCACAGCGATTGTTCATACACGAACGATCACAAGAACAGTG